TTTTGCAAAAACGTTTGTTTTAAAATCATGTTTCGATCACGTGAAGGTTACTAATGTATCATTACTATACAGGTGTACCCAGACCTCGCCTAGCCGATAGATTCAAATGTCAAATCAATGGCAAACATAATGATTTTTAAGTTTTAACTAATATTTTACATGATTTCGTTACCACTAATGCCTACCTATAGGTACCATATTGATACTATTATTTTGTTTATTAATTATAAACATAAATTAATGTCTGAATAAAAATATCGTAAAAAACCAACTAGTGAACACAGATAATGTTCTTACGTTTAAGTTTGATAATAGGTAAATTCACCCAAATATATAACCTAACAACACAAAATTGGAACTGCTGGACGTTTATTTTGGTTCATTTTTAGGCCTATACGTGAGTAAGACGGAGACTACACAATTGTAATTAACATTTACAATGCATATTTGAGAGCTAGCTTAAAGATATCATCGGATAGTGAAAAAAGATAAACCATCCATTGATATAATTATTAATTATAGACATCTATAGATTATAATATTAATTTATAACTATAGAAACTGAGGAGTTTTTACTTTACAATTTGAATTTTGAATTATAGCATAATTATATACCTAACAGGTAGGTTGGGTTCTAACTTCTAACCCACCTAATAGGAACACGAACATTTGTATTTTTATGGTAATTGTATGGGTCACTTGACTTTGTTTTGAATATTTAGATCTTAATTCGTATAGAGTACTAAGTGAATCAGTAAGTACCTATATTTTAGTTTTTTTATTTGTTTTTGTGATATAAAGAGAGCATTGGAATACGCAAGAGCGTCAGCAGTAAAGATTGAACAGGAATCAGAAATCTTAAGCATTGTTTAACTGTCTTTGTATACCATTGCGGATTTGCAGCTACCACTCCGGTTTCCATTTGGATTCACCGCGGTGAATAATATGGTTTAGTCTTGGAAGCTGTGTATTTATGAGGAGGAGGGGGAGGATTTCGAAGATAGATCATACATGGTGTTTTTTTTAGGTATTAACAGTTATTTTAGAGCATTTTTCGGTGGTTTTTCCATTTTTGTGAATTTATATATATTTATTAACCCTATAAGCTTACTAAAAAAAGAAAAATTAATTAATTGATAGGTCATAAACAAAAATATAGATACTTACATTTATCTCACTGTTATTGCGCATTTGTGCCGCCGCCACTGAAACTCCTTGACAGGCTGTACAGCTAAATTTGTAGTATAAAAACAAGATATTTAGTATTAATTATTTATTTATTAATCATATTAGACTAAAATACCAATATCGAAATGTATAGTACTATTGAATTGTAATAGAGTTGAATATTATATTGCACGTTATCGGGCTATTAGTATTCTTATTTGTATGGAACAACAACTTTCGTATTTTTAGACAAAAAACTAGCTGATTTTAATTAATTGTATTATGTCATATTTAAGTATAAATATAAATGTATTATTATAATTTTAAACTTTTCACTTGGTACCTACTACCTATAGTAACTACTAGCTTCTATTTTAAATTTAAATTTTAGTCAGTTGTTTGACTTTCATTTTAATAATTCATATTTTAAAATAATTATTTAATTATATTACCTAATGTTTTAATGTATGAATGTATAAATTGTAATATCATCAAGGACTGTATCATCACAGACTCATATAATACAAGATTACTAGTATACGAGTATAGTACAGTAGACACTAAGTATAGATTATGTCTGTGGTGGGAAATTGAGAAAATGTATAAATTCGAAAATGTATTACAAGGTTCTTCATAAGTTTTTATTGAAATGAAAAAAGGGCATAAATTCACTCTAACTACACAGCATTTAAAAAAAAAAAAAATTCGGAAATCATTGTCTTGGAAGTTATATCCTTCCAAAGCTTATGATTTTACGTTTACACCCATGTGTATAACGAATATTGAGGAATTAAGAATGAAATCAGTGATAATGTGATATATTTTTATTTTACAGAATACACTTTTTTTAGCTCAATGTTTTTGTTTTAATGTGCCTACGTAGTTAGGCATGCTGAAAACGATGGTGAACTTATTTTGATGTAACTTTAAAATGAATAATCGTATATTCTTGACATTTTTACCAAATGTTCATAACAGCGTTTTCTAGACATAGTACTATTTTCAAACTAACCTACTCTTTTTGACCTATATTACATAAACATTTTTATTTGATTTAGTTTTTTTTTCTATAAATATCGGTACAAAATATGTTCGCTGAGTCAAAAAGCTTGAAAGTTTAAAACAAGTTTTCTTATACGTTGTTATTATAGCTTTTTAAGTATATTAAAGATATATTATGCAGTATTTTTTTATAACTTTGTAAGTATTTGATATTTAAATGTTAATTAAATTCGTCAAAACCACAAAAATGTGCAAATTATTTTGTAATTAAAATATTTAAAATGTTTAATTTGTATAGCCAAGTACAAGGTTCTAATATAAGTAGTTCATACAGTAATACTGTAATCATAAAATCTAGAAAATATATGAAAACGATTTTTTTTTGTAGTCAATTTAATTTAAAATTTAAACAAAACTAAATACTCAAACATTTTAAACGAAGATTAACGATTTTAGTTATATTTTTGTAATTTAAAAATATCATTTATGAGTAGGTACCTTGTTGAAACTTATAAATAGGGTTCGGATTTGAAGGCAATATAATCAATAAAAAAAGCATTTAAAATGTAAAAAAAGTCAAAAAAAGGCATTTAATTTATATCAAAAGGCAATTCATAAATATACTACAAAATAAAATAGTGAACATTTTTTAAACACTTTCAAATGCACACATTTTGAGAAAAATACAAATTAAAATTGAGCATGAATACTAAACTATATTAAGTTTATGCTATTTTGTATAAATAGATTAGGTACCTTTTTTTAAAACCAGGTTTGTCCCAAGAATTAGTTAAAAACAATTTTAAATATTAACTTACTTGAGTTATACTAGTTAATTTAATGCAAAATAAACTAGTTGGTATTAAAAAAAAATTGACTACCATGTATTGTGATAAGCTGTCTTCAGAAAAATTAGGGGTTAAAATATTTTTGTACATCGAAAACGATCTTTCTACGTCCACCGAAGTTATCGGGGTTATTTCATACTTAAATAATTATCTAAATTAAGATTGCAAATTGTTAGATCTTCTTCGCTTGTGGTTTCTCCAATCAATACTTGGTTGATCTTTTTGATATTTTCCCATCCCTTGTTCTTCGATATAACTTTGTTGAACCTACCCAAATACTCGATGAGATGATATCGATTAATATTGCGAATAATAAAACTCATTTGTAGCGATAATACGCAAGCTGTGTATACAATTATAAAATCAACTGAAAAATTAAACACAAAATAGGCATTTATAAGTACAATAGGTAAAAAAGGCAAAAAGGCATTTATAAGTAAAAAGGCAAAAAAAGGCAAAAAAAAAAGATACTTCGTCTAAGAAATTAAATGAAACACATTTTTGTATAAAAATTATTTTTCTATTGTGATTAATAAGAGAAAGGCATTTGCCTTCAAATCCGAACCCTACTTATAAAGTGTATTATTATATTGTTTACGCACACCATGACATTGTCTTGCAAAAATTTATTTAACCTATCATATTAGTGTACTACTAAATACTAATAGTATCTAAAATAAATAACTTTTACCCATCAAAATGCATATTATATTACTATTGATTATAAATACTAATATTTATAGTCAATGATATTACCTATTTAAATTGAAGAGACTTACTCCTCAATAATGAGGTACACTCCTCACCTACGTCCTACTGTACAGCAGTGCGGTTACATACCCACTTACCCCTTTTTTATTTATTATAATTTAATATTTGATGTTTAGCTGAGCATAAAAATGTTTAGAACAATTTCCTCAATCAGTAAATGAAATTTTGATAGTGGTGGAAAATGGACAGTAGAAAAAAATGGTCAAGACTCAAGATCTGTATTGGTTTTAATTCTGAGGAAAATGATAAAACGAAGCCGAGAAGGACATCAGGATAACCGTAGTGGAGGAATACGTCTCATTTTTGGTGGGAAATAACTTATTATCAAAATCGTGACTGTGGATGTCTTACGAAATTACCTAATGGTGTATTACCGGTGAAATGCACAATTTCTAATGTTTATTTGGTTTGGTGCGATGGCGGTCTATTAATACCAGTGGTGGCCCGTGGGTTTTTAATGAAGTAGTGTACATCCGGAAAAATGTAACCAATATGTTACATAATATAGAATACCGTATTAAACGATTGTTTACGAACGTTATCAGCTGAAAATCGGAATGTAATAAACGAGTGAGAGTAAAAATAAATCATAATGCCGACGCTCGACGGCAACGTCGAACATAATCCGCTGAAAACAATAAATTTAATTGATTACGTGCACAGAAACGAACGTGCACATCAATTCCATTATAGCGCGGGTTGCGTGTCTTGACTTGTTTTAATTTTTACACTGCACAAATGTGCACGAAGATTGTGTGCACTGCTGCACTATTATACATAGGTACTGATACCGTTCCGGCGGGGGCAGCCGACAGCCGCCCGACCGTTTTTTTCATTCTGAATTCCTACATCTATTTATATTTTTATGTTTTCAGACATAATCTCAACAACACCGCAGCAACATGGTTGTATTATTATGATTCATGGTTTCAATTTTTCAATTTTTCTCGCGTTTGGGTAGGGAGTGTACGTGTGCATATATGCACGACTAGCCGTCACTGTATAATACTTACCACAAATTATAAATCAAATAACAATTATTAAATAGACCTGAGTGGCTGGTACTAGGCACGTTCATAATACCGCCACCGATACCATTCAACCATCGAAGTCCGAGACCGAATATCGGCTGCACAGCCTACACTCAGTTCTAAATATTATTATTACCCACAACTGGTAGCTCGATTATGCAACTTCGCTGCTGGATAATATATTATTATTATTATTTTTAAAAACGATTACAATATTATTGTTATTATGACGTAACATATTATTATTAAAGTTTGTCGAAAGGTCCGTGGTTGCACTGGTCGCGCACTCGCACGACATAATATCACCGTGGTCATTACTCATTAGTCATTAGTCATTCAGCTATTTAGTCGCCACTCGCCGAACTGCCGATTGCCGATGAGTCGAACGCCGCCGGGAGCGCACGACCGTTGGAACCGTTTGGCGCGTTTACTACTTTTTTTCTTTTTGTACCGCGTTGGCGTGCTGGTCGGTATTGGTATTTGGTACAGCACACTAAACTCGGCTGTGCTGGTGTAGTCGTATACCGCAGTGGTACGTTTTTTTTTTTTTTGTCCTCCGTTCGTTCACGCGTGCTTGTTCCTGGTTACTCCGCTTGCCATTTGCCGTCCTGCAGTCGCCACGTTTACTCGAGAACGACACCAAACGTTACGATCTCGATCCACGTTGAACCGACCGACCCGTGACGAGAATCCACCGACGCAATGGCGGATGCGAATCAAAAGTGAGTAGTTATTTTGCACGCGCGTAACGACCGTTTGGCCGACAGGCCCCTTTCAATCGGTGGTGGTTGGTGGGCCGCGGTGGTCAGTCACGAGGCGCTGGGAATCACCATTTTCCCCGCCGAGCATACGATTCGCTAGTCGTTCATCCTCAGCCCTAACTATTGAATAACTTACAACTCCAACTTTTTCTGCGACAACTCCGCCACGCCTGTGGAGATGAACATTTCTGCGTTTTTTGGTCGGTCGAAATTTGTATCGATGATTAATTGTTTGTTAATCAATTGTAAAGTAATCCCATATTATAACTATATATACAAATAAAAAAACAATAGCAAGAAGAAGTAAACGAATGGTTAGGAACTTTTGTCTCGGAATCGTTAAGTTTAGTTTTATATGGCTAGGCCATCCTTCAGTGTCGAGAAGTGACATTCATTATATCTTATTTTAATTAACTCAATTCTAACAAAATAACTTTTTAAAAGTAATTTCTTTGAAGTAACTTGTTATTTTTCACATTATTAAAATAATTTATGAAAGTAGAATGTATGACAAAACCTAGGAGCTTTAAGATTTATAATTCGAATGTTTAAGATAATAATAACCAACAGTATTATTAAAGATCCTGGGAAATAATACTCATACATTTTGTTCATAAATAACATTACCTAAGTCATTAACAATGGTCCCCTCGATGGTCCCCTAGTCCCCTTCATCATCTATGTTATACCTGTTATACCTTTACTGCTTTACAATTTTTTTATAGTGTAACCTTTTACTATAACTTTTTAGTTATTACTACTTATAAGTAGTAATGGACTGGTTTTGTAAATTTTTAAGATAGTAACATTATTTGTAAAGCCTTACTTTTAAAATATAAATGTGACGTTAGGTATGTGATAAAAATAATGACAGATACCTACCTAATGCAAATGTAATTTAAATAAAAATGCAATAAAAATACTTAATTTAACGCGTAAAGTAATTTTATTAGGTATTTTTAAAGTAATTTAATCTAGATAATATACTGTGCCTGTTCATGTCCAAAGTCATACATTTCAGGTTTATTAAAATAATGAATAATATACATGTGGTTCATAAAGTACTATTTAAGGAAAAAATATTGACATAGGACTGCAGCCACCTCTACTAACCAACCACACATAAATATTCTCCTGGTTTATGTAAATTTGCTCTTTACAGTGAAACTAGGGTCTGAATTTTAGATACAAAAAATTGGAAATGATGCTTATAAGTATTCTGTAAAAACAACCAATCTCTCTAATATAGATTAGGTAACCTTTATCTTAAAAATGTTGTTTTTTATGAACAAATTATCAAAATATGTATGCTTAATATCGCAGTTTTTTTTATAAAGATTCTATGTCATATACCTACCTAATATTTGACATAAGTCGTAAATGTTTTTAAAAAATTGTACATTTTTAATTTATTTATTGTTTATTTTATAAATTTAGAACATTATCTAATGGAGTTCAACACTGGAAATCCATCAATTTTTATTGGAGTTTGGTAATGTACATTACTCGTAATGTACTAAGAATTTTTTTCTCTATTGCGGCATGTGTGATGTTCCAGTTTAGTTCATGGTTTAAAATTTTATCTGATTATCTTAAAACAACTGAAAAGGCAGATGATTCACCTAAGAAAACTGTTGAAAATAGGTACTAGTAAATTAGATTTCTAAATGTATTTAATAAGTTTAAATTCAGAAGTTCTTTGTAGGTAATTTGCCTATACTTCTTTCTTGAAAAAATAATTTTAATTATATGATTTGGCATAATTAATATTAATATTATATATTTATATCAATATTAATATTTTTATTAATAATAATATTATCTACCTATATTATTATTCATATTAGTTTAATATAGTTATCTATATAATTTTTTTTTTTAATTTTTGTAAGTACTTACTAATATTTTAATTGCCTCATACCTAATTTAAGTAGTAGATAAGTAGTAAAGTAATATATATATATTTCTCTACAGTTTAATATTTTTATTTTCTTAAAGGTGTGATGCTAATTCTTTTTCTAATCACACCAATAAAAATGAAGAACAAAAAGGATCAAATAAAGTTATTGATATTGTGAATGGATTATTAGACACTGGGACTAAAGAGTAAGTTAGTTGTATTATACTAATTTCCTTTTTATTTTATTTTACTAAACATAGTGTATTTACAATCTATACAATGGTGTAATCAGTAAGTGTGATGACATAATAGCAAAATAACATTAATAACAAAAAAGGAAGGCTCCCAGCAGTGCCACCTGACTAGAAATTAGGGTTTTAATTTTTTTTTTTATTATTATGTTTTTTAAGTATTGAGCAGATCTCTTGGCCATAGCCTTTTTAGCCTTCTAGGTATAATTGAGGTAGAGGATATATATTTAACTATGGGATTTGGATGAGCTCGAAGCTTTGAGTGAAATTTAATGTAGTAGGATTTGGCTAAGTTGTTGAGGGTTGGTATGTTCAGGTCTTTGTGGAGGTTTTTGTTGGTAACATACCATGGGGCAGCGGTTATTAGGCGTAGACATATGGATTGGAAATGCTTGCAAGGTTTTAGTGTTAGATGGTTTTACTAGCCCCCATAGTTGGATGCCGTAAGGCCAAGCTGGACAAATTATTGATTTGTATATTGTGAGTTTGTTGGCTAGAGAAAGTTTCGACTTTAATAGGGGTTTCAGAAGATGCAGTCTAGAGTTCACTGATTTACGTTTTTGTTTAAGATGCGAGCTCCAGTTAAGGCGTTTGTCGAATATTAATCTTAGGTATTTTAAGTAATATTTACAGTAAAATTACTAATTGGCATAAAGTTAAACTTACTTAAATAAATAGGTTTAGAAAATAACTAAATGCATGAATTCATATAACAGACAACTCTAGTCTCTAGATAACTCAATATTTAAGAAGAAAAATTAGAAATCAACTATTTTAACTTATTAAGTTAACTTCAAAAAATAATTAAATTATTTTCTTTACTGCAAGGTGTGATGATTATTTTATTTCTAATCACATCAATAAAAACAAAAAACGAAAACAAATATGTAAAGTTGTTGACGAGGTTATTGATGGTATGGTGAATGAATTAATCGAGGAATTAATAGACACAATCAATAAAGAGTATGTAACTTTATTTTAATTTACTAAACAAATATTCAAATCCAATAAGTAACTGTAATTTTGATAATAATAAAACAAAATTGAACCATCAAGCATTTTGAGTTATTTAAGTTGACTTTGCTTAATGTTTATGTTTCCCTAAATGTATGATTGTCATTCTTCTTTTAGTCATGAAAATCAAACTGAAGAAGAATATTGTATAAAAGTAGTTATATCTGATAAATAAAGACTAATTAAAGTTTTTCTGATTTTTAGTTTAAAACCTTTCCAAAAAAATTAAATTATATTAAAATGTTCCTCAAAACTTTTCAATAACTCAATGTTTTTTTCTTTACAGGTGTAATGATCAATCTGTTTTTAACAATAATATAGTTGCTGAACAAAAAATAGTAAATGGAGTTATTGCTAATATTGTAAATTGTAAATTAGAGGAAGGGTAAGTTTCTCAGTTAAACAAATTTATATTCTAAGAATAATCAAGATAAGTTGATGATTTTGATTTACCTATCATTTTTTAAGAGTAATTTATTTATGGATATGAATTATGAATAATGTAATTTAATATGTTTAGGTCTGATTCTCAACATTATGAAGTTGAACAAAAGTAAGTACCTACTAAAATATATTAGATCTAATTAAAATATTAAAAGAACAATAATTTGATTGGTTCTTTTTTTATAGACCTATGTCTCAAAATCCTGGAGAATCAAAGGATAAGTGAGTATTTCATTTAAATCTAAATATTTAGGCATTTCAAGGTCTTTTTATAAATGATTTTGTATAAGCATAGTTTATTTTAGTTAAATGTTTAAATTATCATCATGTTTACAGTTCTAATTCTGAAGACAGTGTGGAAAAAGTTAAAGAAGAAGAGTGAGTATTAATTTAAGTATAAACTATTTATAAAAAATACTTTTTTATTATTTTTTAAATCCAGTTATTCAAAGCCTTTGATTATCATACAAAAAATTGTAGGGGCCTGGTGTGGTGCGGTTCTTGGCTGCAACCTCTGATGTGTGCTACAGTCAAGCATCGTCTGCCATCACTAGGTCCTAGACAGGTGACCACCTGGGCTTTTAGTGATAACTTTTTGCCCTACATACTTACTTGTGGCTCACAACCAACAGTTACCCACCACAAAATGTTAATGGCCAAAGTTGCCAATACTTCCAAAAAGTAATAAAAAAAAGATCACAGGCATGTGACTATCATAGACATCATGTAGATTAAGTATTTTTGCTGGATAATATTTATTCAATTCAATTTTCTGTTATGTATTGTAATTAAAATATTCAATTAAGTCCCCTTAAATTTAGTTATCATTTATTTTTCTATAGAAAAAATTGCGAGGACATAGGATCAACAAGAGCTAGGAAAAGACATCCTATCAAAAATACTGCAATGTTACTAATAACTAAAACAATCAATGAAAACAAATTAATGGACAAACGATTCAAGTGTGAAACCAAACTTAACATAGACAAGTAAAAGAGCATATTAATAATTTTATTGCATTACCTATATGAAAAGAGCAAAAAAGTAAAAAAAAATTTTCGACAGAATGTCCAATTCTAAGAAAAATTGTGTAGGATCCATTCACATTATTCAATAAGTTATGAATAATTTTAAAAAGAGAGTGATGCCACTGGGCCTGGGACTACATAATTATCAATCTTATATGTGTAACAATTAATTGCTTCACATAATTTACTTACCTTAAAAGTATATTTTTAATTTTTATTGTACGTGTAATCATCACATCATGATGTTTTTTTATGCACTAAGGACATTGGTGGAACTAGAATTCGTTTAAAGTGTCGAGTTTTTTTTTAAATATTTAAAATCTTATTAAACACATGTTTGTTATGTCTATCTTGTAACTGGACCAATCACTTATTGTGACAACTGGTTATTATTTCTTAGTATTTTTAATTTAAAAAAAATATTTGTTATATTGCAATTCTGATACCTCTATTGTCTTAAGCTCAAAATGCACACATTTATATGTAGATCAAACATTAAAAATAGTATTAAGGTAGGTTCATTGTGTAAAGTGCTCAACTCTTTCGACTCTCAGATATTCATGTTGAGTCTGGTCCTATGACGTTATCTCTTGAAATAATTATTTTTAATAGTTGGATGTTGTGTGCTCCTTTTATATATACTCGATACCATTTTTACTAACTAATATTTGTTATAATTGAGTTTTTCATAACTTATTGAGTATCAATTTTAATTTATATTAATTTTGTTGTACAGAATGTCAAATAAAGAAATACCTAATGGAAATCCTTACAGGGATAAAGATAAAATGTTAACAAACAAATCTGATAGTTTTATAAGCGAAACAAAATTGTCATTAAATAGTGATCCTGAGAAAACTGATTGTTTTGAAGTGTCTAACAATAGCCATAGTAAAGACACTTATATTGAAAGTGGATCAGAGTACATGAATGATGGCAATATCCTTGATATCCAAAAAAATATAGAGCTAATGGAAAATCAATGCAAAACCAATGGAAATGAACAATTGTGCGTGTTTTATTTTTTATTAAAAATGAATATAATTTATGATATGCTATTTTTTAAAATTTCTTAGAAATAGGGTAAGGTGAGATAGAGAATACAAATAGAATGCTGACATCCTCTTAAGGCATTATCTTAAATCTAAGAAGACGTGGCACCCGCATGTGCTATTTCCGTCTTAGGTGATCACGTTTAACTCCATTACTTTAAAAATTAGAGTGAATTGACCCCTTATAAAATAAAGGTAAGATTAATATTTGGGCATCTTGTTGGTATTTTATTAAATTTTAATTTTAAGCTTGTTATGAGTATTTTTAGATGTACAAACAATTTACAATTTAAATATACTCATAGCTTGCTTTAAAATTAAAATATAATAGAAAGAATATGAGATGCCCTAGATAATATATTATATATAATCTTACTTTTAAAATGTATAAGAGGTAAATTTACTCTAATTTTTAAACTAACGGAGCTTTATGTGATCTGCTGAGCCTAAAATTTGCTATGTGCATACTTGTAAGATAAAGACAACGCATGCTGGTGCAACTGATTTTTAAGAAATACATTCATTAAACCCAATGTAGTATGTAGTGCTATGTGCAATATTTATTATTTTTATGCATGAATTATTGACATCACTATTATGATTTTTGTATTTGTATTATCAAAGTAACTGTTGAAAGCTAGTCAACGAGTAACTCACACAGACACGGACTAATGATCCGTCACTACACGTACATTCACATAGCTCTCCTAATGGATTTAGAAAATTGCTTAAATCCAACCCTTTAAAAATGGTCTGCTTTCCTCAGACTTAAAGAATGAAACAAAGTCGTTCACTTTCAATTCTATCATTCCAGACACTGTATGCATAAGATACATAATTTAATTTATTCACATACCTATAATATAGGTATTATACCTATATCAATATGTTACTTGTTAATAATTATTCATAAAAATAAATATTGATAGAATCCCATCTATATTTAATGAATCAAGTTTTTATTTTTCTTATTTCATATGATGAATAAAAATATTTTCTAGGATCACGATAAATAATGTTGACTGCTGTGAAAATGATAATAGTAATGAAATCAGAAATCTGACAACAAAAACTGAAAATATGTAAGTACCATCATAATTAATAATATTCAGAAGATTTAATAATAAAAACTAAATCTATTTTCCTTTTGAGCTATTTATAATTCTAATTTTGTGTTATATATATATTATACACTGAATTGTTACCTAAAATTAACTAAATTTCTTAATACAAAATTAAATTAATTTTTATTATAAGTTTATCTGTATTTCACATTCAGTTAATGAAATATTAATTTTAAAGGGTTTGAAACTTAGAACTCTCACATCAGACATAGGTAATCTTTTATGGAATAAGTACTGCATACAGAATGTACAAATGGAAATTAAAGAACAATTCTGACACTAATCTCTAGTAACCCATTATTTAATGAGTGCCATCTAGTATCTACTATTCCTACCATCCATGAACATGTGGAGCTTGCAGTTTTTTCTAGCATGTTTAATAGTTTGCTCATTTTCTTGTAAGGGATTATATTTGTAAACTTTTACATAAGCCTTTCTCTCCAGACAGTATCATATGCCACTGATAAGTCTATAAATGATATATATATGTCTTCTGCCTCCTCTAGAATACTGCCTAGATTTGCGGTTTCCAAACTTTTTCAGTTCATTCCACCCCAAAAATTAAAAAAAAAACCATAATTCGACGGAAAAAAAGGTTATGAACTATATATATATAAACTTATTATTATTATAACTTTTGGAAACTATCCATAATTAGTTAATAATATTCTTATTTTTAACCTTATTCATAATGAAGTAATTATTTAGGATCAAAGAAATTAATGATGAACACTTGAAAAACTACAATGGTTATGAAAATAAAAACCCAATTACACAGGCTGAAAATATGTAAGTATTGTCCTAGTTCTTATTCTGATAACTGGATCTAAAAACAACATTATTATTTCTTAAGCTTTGTATAATTGAGGTTAATAAAAAAGGATAGGCAAGTGGGGACCGCTCTGCTGTACTGTAGGTGTTTGTGTGGATCATTGAAACTGATGTGTTAAAATTAAATTCAATTATATTAAATCATTTAAGATTCTAAACAAAGACAATCTCACCCTGTATTGTTAAAATATTTTTAAATTACAAAAAAATAACTAAAATTCTTCTTCTCCCTTTAAGTATAAAATTTTAACTTAAAATCTACTTAAAAAGACAGTTTATAAAGTTTTTATATTTTTTTTTTACATTATGAACTACTTATGCAAATCTTATAAAGATACCATTTTAAATCCTTAGCTATAAAAATTGAACATTTTATGAATTATTAACTACAAGATGACCTAACAGATGATTGCCAAAAATTGAATTTTAGTTGCTTATAAAAAAAAACGTGCTTAAGTAACTCAAATATTTTTGAATTTTTTTTTTTCGTAAGATGAAAAACTTATGAGAAGCCTTGTATTCAATTTCCTGGGTTACAATTTTTTACTGACAATAATTTAAAATTAATTTGTATGTCCAGTAGTTTTTTATTTTTTTGTGATATAATATATTTTTGTATGAATTTCTTTCTCAAAATAATTTAGTAAATATTTGTGGTTTTGATGAATTTTGTCAAAATTTAAACTATCTAATTAAAAGTAACTAACTTTTTAAAAATCATTTTTTAGGACCACAAAATATAATGATTTCTACTGGAAAGATTTTGATGATTTTGATAATCGTAAACTGAATACAAAGACTGAGCATATGTAAGTACTGTTATAGGAAATATTCAGAACAATGGAATCTTACATCTTAATTTATTTTATCTTTGTGATTTATATTATTGATAATCTTTATTATACCTATATACCCATATTGCAACTAAAAATCTTTAAAATTATTACATTTTTTATATTGTGTACAGCCTGTTTAATAAATCAGACACCTTAGGAAAGTCTATCTATAAAACATTTTTTAAGTTCTTTGAAGTGCAATGTTCTTAAAAAAAAAAAATTTTAAAGGATCACATTAAACAATGGCAAATTCAGAGACAATTATGACAGTATTGAGAACAGAAAACTGATTGCAAAAACTGAAATTCGGTCAGTTTCATCATATCAAATATTTAGAAAATTAGGACCTAACTTTTGAAGCTTAATTGGTTTTTCTATTAAGCATTACATAATTGAATTTCTTTAACATATACATGTTGTAACTTAATAAAAGAATATTTAATTTCCTTTTATACAAATTATCATTGATATTAACTTGTATAATTCAAAACTTGATATAGAAAAAACAAATACTTGAATCTCGTTTTATATTTATTTTATCAGGTCTTAAAATAAATATAATTTCCAAATTTCATAATATTTAGGAGTTTATGACTATATTAACTATAACGTCCCTTTATTTAGCAACAAGGATTGTTCTACATAGTATAGTATACACCAATGTCGTTTTAAATATCATTAAACAATGTATGGATAAATTACTATGTTAATAGAGTGCATTTTATAAGAAAAAAATACAATTTTTGTCACGCATCAAAATATTGAAACAAAATGTTTTAAAATGATATCAGCACAATTAGTTTTCTCTCTCCAGCTCATGTGCACATATCAAATTTGAGTTTAGTAGAACAAACCTGTTGTTTAGCTTTAGTATTAGATTTGAATTGCCCAATTATCAAAGTTAAATTTTAGAATATTGTTTATGTTCTCACATTGATTTTGTTTTACAATATTTCTGTTTTAAAGCGAGATATTATCATTTTTAAATTATAAAATTTTACACTAATATATCGCTTAAAAATCGAAATATTGCAAAAATAAAGCCATTATAGAAACAGGTAATATACTTCATTTTAAGTTTGATCATTGGTCAATTCTCTCTACAATTCATGTTTGATATTATGTTTCTCTTGGGTCATAGAGAGAAAACAAGTAGTGCTGATAATCTCTTGACTCTATTGGTCATGATAGTTTTTTTTTAAATTTATATTTGATTAAGTAAGTTTTTGCACTTTATTTGTAATAATGTTTTTAGAATAACCAAAAATAAAGTTGAACATCGAGGTAATAGTGATAGTTATGAATACAGAAAACTATACTGAAAATATATAAATGTCATCATTAATAATTAGAACAGATCTCAAAACTAATTTTTTTTCCCATTGAAATTTTTTATTATGTGTACATTTATTATATCTTAAAATCTTTTAAAAATATATGTTTACTCTTATGTATTTTATTATATGAGATTTTTTAATGAAACTATTTTTAGGGCTAATAACAGTGAACACTGGGATAATAACAATATACATGAATACAGTAAACCTATTCCAAAGACTGAAAATACGATGTAAGTTGTATCATATTTAATTATCAGAACAATAGATTGTAGTACTAAATTACCCTTTGAGCTGTATGTAAGAATTATAAATACATTGATTGTAACTTGAAAAATCATTAAAATTACATTAAATTGATTGCATTGTTAACTAATAACTAGATTTTTAAAAAATCATAAAGCAATTTTCTTACTATATATTTTTTTTTAGGTTGAATATATTTGAAGTGAATGATGACATATTTGGTTTGCCTTCTAAATTTTCTTTAGCTCATTGTGTTTGTGAAGATTTTCATAATTCTATGGGCATGACAGCTGATTTTAAGTACTATATTCATACTTACATTTCTTATTTTATTTGTAAAAAATAAATAAATTTTTTAGATACAAATTTGGAAAATATGGTGCATTAATGGATCAACATTTACGTGTGAGCGATGTTGGTCATATTTTACATGATGAACAACATATATTTTATTTAGTCGTAAAAAGAAAAGTGGCTCAGAAACCATTATTATCTTCCTTAGAAATAGCATTGTATAATTTACGTGATAAAATGAATGACCTTAAATTAACAAAATTGGCAATCCCAAAATATGGACTAGACACATTCAATATGGCAGATGTAAAGGAACTGATTTCAAAAGTATTTATATTATCCAATATTGAAGTTACTTTATGCCTGGCACCGCCTGTAAGTTATTACCATTATTTTATATTTTTATTTTGTTTAAATAATTAAAATAATGTTTAAATCTATAGAAATTGGATGTAGAACATTTTAATCCTCCAAAAGTAAATTATACTTATAAACATTTGTGGGAGATGGAGAAACAAACTGATTTAATAATATTTATAAATATAAACACAGTGTATTCAGCGAATTGGAATGATAAAGTTGTAGAACATATCAATGCTAAATACCCATTCAAAGAAAGGTAATTTGTATTTTGTTAATGAATGTTAAACATTTTTATTCTTCAAACAAATTTATTTAAGTTAAATATTAAAAAATATATCATTTTATAAGAGTTAGATATTCTCAATAAAAAGTAGTTTAAATTAACCAGAAAAATTAATAAACGTTAAGTAATAATTACTATTTAAACATTTATAGATTATTAAAAGATATTAATATTAAACCAATGGCGCATGGTGATTTACTGACTTACAAAATTGATAGTGAAGTATTGTTTTGTATATTCATCAAGCCTTTAGATCAAAACTCAGCATACTTTAGATGTCTTGAAAAAGCTTTTCAAGAGATGAAGTCACAAATGACTGGTTATAGATATTTAGGAATTCAACAAGAGCCAATAAGTTATAGGTCTTACCAACACACTTTGCCACGTACTTTATGTACACTAAAATCAGTTTTTAGTGTTCAAAATGCTGAAATTTGGATTTGTGGTGATACTGAACAACATAAAGCACTTAATTATCAACAATATAAAAACATTGTTAATGATGCCATTGAAGTGAATCAAAAACGAAATTCAAAAACAAATGCCAGATCAAAACATAGATCAGAAAGAAAGAAACGTGAAAGTACAAATAGTAATAACAGTAAACATGAGTTATCAGAAAAATATAACAGTAAAAACACATTGGATGTAAACGCTGTTCCGTATCTGAACCAAGATCAAATAACTGTTGATAATTACATAACAGGTAGCTAAATATTAATTTTTACCATATATTTAGCTATAAGCAGTTAAACAATATAATTTAATCATGTTTGTGGTTCTATATTGGATGCTCTAGGTGAATTTGTACAGACACATTAGCTAGGATTACACATTATTGGGGTGGCCTAATTATGGCCAACATTAACTTCCCCGCTTCCCCAGCCCATTCTAAGAATAATTTAATAAGTATCTATATAGGTATTTTAATTAAAATTTAAGATTTTGAAGAAGCATACCAAAGTATTTTAAATGTAGGTATTATAGTAACAAAATCACAAAATGTATTAAGATTATAAATTTAAATAAATAAATAAATTAGATAATTATGTGAAAATTACGTTAGTAATTATAAGCTGGGATAAATATTAACATTATACAATTATGAATCACAATTCACAACAACCACAACTGTCAACTGAGTAGGTATTGAAGATAATAATATAATACTAGACACAATATTGTTTTTAAAAAAATACCTTCATCGCTTTGCTAAGAATCTAAAATATTATTATGCCTAAAACCATTGCTGGCAAATGTTATTCTAATTTTTAAATTATAGAAACCAATTTTGCAATTAATTTGTAAAATATTTGCACATTTTTTAATTGACCAGATAAAGTGGAGGAACCATTTTCTTACACCATATCCCACATTATAAATATAGTATAACATTTGTAATTGACAATTGTAAAGTAACTCTGATATATGGATATCCTAGTTCCCTACCAGAAATAATTATCAAACATTATTTGAAACCTACTTGCTATAAACCTCTTGCTATGAATAATTGCATTCATAAATACTTAAATAGTCAGATAACTTATCACATTTTTTTTTTGTTTCAGAAAATTGGGATAACTGATCATTTTTATATATATATTGTTTTATTATCACCATTTTATTAACAATTAATATTTTGTATTAATTTATTTTTACTGATATTACTCCTTTTACGAGTATTGAATTAATTGAAAGTATGTCATTTTGTTTCACAGTAAATTAATTAAGAGAAAAAATCTTTTAAAACAATTGAACAATTTATCGTTTTTAGTGATTTCTCTGAAGTTAAGTATAAATCATTAATTCGTTACTTTTTTAAATAAATATGTATTTTTTTTTTTTATATCAAAATTGTTGTTATTTATAAGTATTTCTTCGGTTTAGCTGATTTATGTTTACATTTTCTCTAGAGTTGTTTTTAAATATTGCTTAAAATGTTGTTTTTTTCAATTCAATATTTCTAATTGTAACCCTTAGCTTATGAATATTAGTAGTTTTAAAAAATAAAAATAAAATTATGATGTAAATACATGAAGTTATATTACTTTTATTCTTTATCTGCCTTCAATATTTGTTTTATTATTTTTGTAAAATCTTAATTTTATTTTAGTTGCTCGCTCAATAAAAAAAAAATTATTGTAATTATGACGGTAGTCTGTTAGTAGTGAAGTTCAATGTGTCCAGATTGTTGATGAATAATATTTATACAATAAGGAACTCTTTTGGAATGTATCTATAGTAATAAGATAAAATTAAGTTAGAACTTTTTTATTGTATTGAGGTCTGAAAAAATAATACTATGAAATCAATTAGGTACACTTTTGTTCCATGATTATAAATCATAGTAGCAAATATATTTATGTATCAAGTTTATAATTGTTTGACCATAAGCTTTGACTTAATTCCCATGATTTTTCTAGGTTTGGTTTTTGTTAGTTGATTATTTGAGATCATACCAAGGCCTTGTTCTGGCAGGTAAATTAAAGAATTTTATGTTAAATATTTAAAATAATTGCTCTCTAAAATACCCCTAGTAAATAAAGCTCTTGGTAGGACTTTGATGTGTTAAATTTAAATTTAATGATAGACCAGTGCATATAAAACTTCATCATGACCATCATCAAAACCATCATGGCATCATCCTATATTACTAAAGCATTAAATTTATTAATTTTTCATGTTGTTTCTCAACTATGACTAGTGAAATATGACAAATTATTTAGTGGTTCTTTTTTAACCAAAACAATTTGTGGACATCATCAAAGATTAAATAAATAATAGAAATGCTGGGTGTGATGTGGAGTCCATAATGTAAATAATATAATTGATAAACCAGATAATAGTAGGTTAGTATCAGATTATAAAGAACTTTATAATTTCTTAATAAGATCTATCTACTTAATAAGATAGAAATATATATTCCAATATATTTTTGTGGTTAGTTCCTTCATAAGGAATAACATATACATATATAATATATATATTATCTTGATCTAGTATAATTTTGAGATAATAAAATATATAGGTAACAGTACGGAATATAGTTTGTGTAATATAATATATCTAATAATCTAAGTTGCCGATTTGGGATAATGGATGAAGTAAATGTCTGAAATTGTAGATGGTACTATAGATAATTTTATCTCTGCGCTATGAACATTCTGACAATTCTGTTATATTCTGCCAAAATCATCAAAAGTGTTCATCATTTTTTTAAACCAATCGCTGTATAATGTGCAAACAGCGCTGGTGGCTGACACATAGAGTTGAAATATATTATAATTATTAATTTCACATGATAATATAATATGTATGAAAGTAATGTAATTTATTATTTACCAATAATATTGGTAAGTATGCATGAAAAAGGCAATTTCTAACTCCAATTTTTTTTTAATTTATAAAAGCATTACCTAAATATATAACCCTACAACCTCTTACAAGCAGGGACTAGAACCAGAACTAAGGTTGGAACTCATATTTTATAATGCTTAGAACCGAAACCATTCTAATAAGCAATACGTTTTCCGATTCTAAGAAATAACTACATTTTATTGAAATTGGGTTTTGATGTTAAACAAATGATTATTTTTCATATAGTAATATTTTTGTTACATAAACTACAGACATTTTAACTCTAATTAATCATATTACATGACGGACAATGTTTAATTTACAGGCATATGGGTTGCATTTTTTATTTGCAATATTGGGAGAATGATCGAAGGAGTAATGTGTTTGTCTACAAATGTTTACGAAATACCTGCAAACACGGGCGGAATAACTATGTTTTGTTAGGTACCTATTTATAATTCCTCCCTTATAAGCAATAATAGGTAATGTTTCAAAAAATGCATGTTTTGGAATCGAAAGCAACCAAAATACTTTAATTTTGTAATTTAAAGAACAAAAACCGATTATTTTCTGTCTTAAGAAACCGAACTAGAATAGAACCGACCAACCCTACAGAAGTCACTGCTTACGAGTGCCATACACACAATGTCACAATGAATGTAACTACCAATTTACAACGATGAAGAAAATGTGGCCTGACTATAAAAAAACATTAGCCTGCTGTAGATAACCATTATACTACGGCCGTAAACAAAATCTCTATCTATGAATTATGATGTTATATCAGTGACCAATAATTTGTGTTTCAGACCTCGGTAGTTACAATACAGTTATAGACTATTGAAGGCGGGCATCGAAGTCGAGTGTCGATTGCTCAGCGGCGACAAATACTTACGCTACAACCTCCAAAAATATAGGCTAAGACATGTCCATAGCCAAACTGTGTGGCTCATCGCGCATTCGCGTATAATTCGAAGAGAAAATATTTTTACACCGTTAAAAAGACCAGAACTTTAATTATTATCTATTCTCTCGTCGGCTTTTTTTGATAACTTAATTATAACTATCAAATATGTTGTACTGAAAAATTAAAAAAAAAAAAATTCAAACGCTATGATTATTGATGATTAAGAACAAAAATCGAGGAGAGGTAATACTAAAAGTTCTAGTTTAGTGGTTTACAAATTATCTCCACGAAAATGTAGTATGGTTATCATAGTAGTATGTAGATAATATTACATTGAGATTTATACGTTATCTATTAGGTAAATTACTCTATGGTACAGAGGCACAGTATATTTTGGTGGTGGCCAAAGGGACAGTCGTAATTTCATGTCGCAACGGTGCGTGGAAAGTAGAAAACGTTCCGCATCGGCACTCCGGCTTCGAATACGTTCGTGCGCGCCGTCGAACGTTATCAATTTGGCGGCCTTCTCACCCGGCTAGAAAATTACCAAACGTCGTTACGAATTCTTTGTCCAACAATTTAGTTTTTTTCCGTCCATTTCACTGAAGTTTTGTTTAGTCGGATTTCCCAATAGTTTTCTCCACGGGCAGGCCAAGTACAATCGCTGTCGCAAAGGAAAAAGGTAAGTCGCAGCACGCCGAGTGTTTGTTTATCAACAGTTCAATATAATGCTTACGTTTTCAAAACTAGAAATTCGATGAAGCTGAACAGAAAGCGTACTGTTTTCTTACATGCTTTTCCACTGAATAGCGATTGCGTTACCCACTGCCTAAGAAATAATATAAATAGAGAAGTATCAATAAAAAATATGATGTGAGCCGGAGCTACGATGCTGTTAAATGTTACCGACCATGTCTTATTTTAACTTGCCTCCTGCCATAGTGTGTCTGTGGTTCAACTTACATCAATATGAGGTTATACCACTAAAGGCTACTTATTAATTTAATATTTAAATTATAACACTAGGAAAAAACTGAAAATTAAAATTGATGAAAAAAAATCTGCTCAATGGTACACTTTACCCTAAAAGAAACAAATGTCCTACATGAAAACTAAATAACTTCATAAACCATTACTTGGTCAAACAACACCAAGCAAATACGTAAGAATCTAAACTCTCATCTCTGTTAAAAAATTTCATCAATCCAGCAAGTTTCAAGAATAAAATACTTATTTACAAATCAATCATCAAATTAGTATGATCATAGTATCATATAATATTCAAATAAAGAGCCTGACATCCTGGCCACACCAGCCAACATTCGTCTTATACGAGTCTTTTAATCCATTACCTTAAGATGCACCTCTTAAAATTCTAGTAACTACCTAATAAGCTACTATTTTGAGGTTCTGTTACCGATTGATTCCGTTCTTTATTTACTTTGACACTCATCAAATTATTTAATTTTATTAATTAATTGAATTATTTTATATTAATAATTTGATTACAAGTAATCCAAATGTAAGGCAGTGTCTTTATATTTTTACCTTATCTTTTTAAATAAAATAATAATATTAAAACAGTTTTTCAGTTATTAGTTTATATTGAAATATTTATTTAGATTTGAAAAAATCATTATTTTTATAACATGAATAAAAAAAATGTTAAATAATTAACAATGAATGATAATTATCATTCATCACCCAATTCTAGTTTTGGTTTTTAATATTTTGCACACAACATAATGTTTGAGAAATTGCCTAAAAATAGCAAATTCAATTCTAAATTACTAAAATAGATGAATACATCTTAAATATGCTAAAATTAAGAAAGAAATATTATTAAAATTAAATTAATTTTATTATTGATATTCTAAAATTTATCAAAAAAAAAAAAAATAAATGCTATTACCTACAACTATCCTTGATCATAACTATAGGTCTTTTATATGATTGTATATTTTTCTGTTTTATATTTTTGATTTTTCTCAGTTATTCCAGAAACGTTCAATTTTAGAACACTCATTAATTACTTATCAATTATCATGTAAACAATGACTATAAATATCTTTGTTAATTACTAAATTAGGTAAATGTTTAAAAATGTATTTTGTTAGTAATTTATTTTACTTTTATAGATCTGAATAACTAGAGAGAATCAATTGTTCAACAACTGTATGAAAGGTTAATTCTGTGATGCAATCCTGTTCATTCCTGATTTTTAAAAAGTAAGTATATACATATTTTAGTATAAATTCAATTTATTATAGTTCTGATAAGACCTAGAGCCTTAATATTTCTGTGGGTCCTATAAACTAGGAATAGAAAATGTTTAAAAAAAAAACCGTTATTAAATGAAAACAAATTTAAAGCTAGAAAAAAAATACTGGTTAGCTGTTCAACTGGTTAGAAATAAAAAAAAATGGATATTAACTATACATTTTGTATGATAATATCCACTAGGTATGCCAATTTTTTTTTAATAATCCCTATTTTCTCAATTGATGAAGCAAATTTAAAAAAAAATTATTTATATATTATAATAATTTATTGTTCTGTTATTGAAGGATAACAAAAGTC